TGTCTGCTCGGGGAGGCGAGGGCTCGCGCGGACAGAGACGGAAGACTTCCGCCCCGAGGCTAGCATGTGGGGGCAATTATTCGGTGGGCCCCACGTGTCAGCGAACCCTGCGACTGGCGTGGCCTCGGAGTTATCCTGAGCGGACCTGACGCGTGGGGCCACGGGGCCGGTGGTGATGAAAGTGACGATGCGTTTTTGGTTTTTTTTTTTTTTTGTGTGGGTCAGTGGGATTCCTCCTCTTTTGCGAGAAGAATTTAGGCGGGCAGTAAACGGAGATCTGTAGTAGTACGCCCCAGTAGTGGTAAGTTAGTTGGGTTTTTCCTGATTTGGTTAGATTCCTCTCCTCTTCTTGGATCACTTTATTCCTCTTCTTCCTTTGACGCAAAAAAATAACACCAGAAATTCGTTAATGTCCAGGGTTTTTTTTAAACAGTTGTTCTTTTCTTTTTGTCGTAACATTCTTTTCCTTCTTTCCTTTGTATAGACAGGAATATTTTCCATTTCGAATTTGCCGTTTGCACCCTGCTGTTTTGTGGGCTTAATTAAATATTTACATTTATGTTTCTCCCGCTAACAATCAATACATGCAATCCAAACATGTACAGTGCTTGCTTTCTTTTTTTGCGGCCGGGGACATAAAATGTAGTGCATCTTTTTTCTTTTCAGAAAGTGGTCCCTCCTTTTAAAGAAAATACATGACGCCATTGGATTATAGGTTGACCATTCATCTTATTTAAAAAATATATAATTATTATTTATTTTTATATAATTTGTTTTATTGTCTTGGCTTATATTTTGCAAACCTACACAACATTTTTGAATGAATACGAATGCTCAAATGCGTACCTAAAAGTTACCAGCATCATATATCACAACTGAAGAAGTACTCGTTTTTACATGTACTAATTAAAATGTATTTGCTTTAACATGTAAATAGCCAAAGCGATAGTACGTGTAATAAAAAAACGTAAAAAGCTCCACATAACACTAAAGCGAGTATGCTACTCTATCCGATTATAAGACATAGTTTGACTAAGTTTATAGACAAATATAGTAATATTTTTATTAAATTAGTTTCATCGAATCAATAATTCAATATATTTTCACAATAAATTTGTTTTGGGTTGAAAATATTACTACTTTTCTCTACAAACTTGGTCAAAGTTAAAATAATTTGACTTTAACCAAAGTCAAACTATTTTATAACCTGAAACGAATAGAGTATCACGGAATCTCATATGACTTTAGCTGTCAGTTCCTTAGATTCCTTTGGGATAAAAAAAATGATAAAGTTTCAAAAGATGTGCTTGATGGCATGTAAAATAACACGAATTGATACCACAGAGAGGGAAACGTGAGGGTAAACACCGTGATTGTTTTCCATTTTCTTTTTGGAATTACACGTCTAGTTGGAATTATAAAATGAACATTTGGGGTGATGGTCTATATATTGTGCCAAACGAGTTACCTATATAAATAACTCCACAGCAATAATTATTTGACAACATGTCTTAGGTAGCATTTGACGTTTAACCATCAACAACATCCCAAATGCTTATTCTATAACAAAATTAATATGCATAGATTTAGGTAGAAACGTATTTTAGTGTCTTGTAAAATATATATGTGCAATACGGTTTAAAATATGTTGAATGGAGTCATGCATTTGTAACTTTGTGTTTGCACCAGGTCGCCGAAAAGCGTGTCTTAGGGCTCGTACGAAACTCTAGTCTTGTTCACTTCATGGCCATGTTTAACCTTTCGAAAATTTGGCATTATTTAAAATTTTAGCAAGTTGGCAACGTTACTAAGTTTTGGCATGATAGGTTTAACTACGATGATATCAATTCTCTAAACACAACAAATATTTGGTAACAAACTAAATACTACCATACATCTGTTAACTTCACCAAATAATGGTGTGGTTTAAAATGGTAATCCCTCCGTCAAAAAAAACAACCTAGTACTAAGATGGGGCACATCCTAGTACAAATGAATTATAGTTTGAAGTCGAAGTATAACAGTTTATAACTCTCATGGAAAAAGGGATTGTGTTTTTTTTAAGAATTCGAATGCATACTAGATTTTTTTAGTGGTTCCTTATGGAAAAAGATCGATCATCTTTAAATCCTATCAAACCTTAATTCTATTTGTGTTTTTGTTTCTCATCAAAGTGTGTTTTTTTCTTTGATCTATGGATTAATTTGATCCATACCATTGCAAATGTGGCTATTCAGAAAAATATCATTACAATTCGTCTATTCGTAACCGTGCCACTCTAATTTTACGAAATTAGAACCATGCCATTGCCGTCACCTTTTCCATCCATCCTCTTTCTTTCCGTCTTCTTCCTTCCTTCTCCATCTTCTTCGCGGCCATCGCATGTCGCTGAGCCGAGATCGAGCACCACGCCGCCACGAGGCGGATCCGGGAAACTGAGCACCACCACCTCCAACAAAAGCAGCTCTGGTCCTCCCACCACCGCGCCACGTCGCGCTCCACGCCAAGGGCTTCCGACGGCGATGAGTCGTGGGCCGAACACCACGGCGACGAGGAGGAGAAGGACACGCCGCTCTTCTCCAAGGAGGTCATCCGGTGCCTGCACGTGTTGCGCCAACCAGCCACGCTCTTCGGCAAGAACGACACCACGTGACTCCGCCGCCTCCACGCCGTGCTCGAGGACCCCGCGGCGCTCGCCGACGTCGACACGGTGGAGATTGGGGAGGGCCAGACCAACGACTTCCTCCGCGTGGAGGGAGGGGACAACGCGTGGAAGGAGCAAGGGCGCCGAGGAAGCCGGGCGGCGGTGCCGACTCGGCACGCGGAAGGAGCCGTGGCGCGGCCACGCAGGGGTATGGGGCGGCGACGTTGGCGAGCGGTGCTCAGAGGAAGGATGGGGCGGCAGCGCAGAGAAAGGGGACGGCAGAGGCGCCGCCGGCATGCGCACGGTATTGGTGCCGATGTGAGGAGGGAGGAGACGACGCGATAGCTTCAACTGCGGCGGCGTCCGCGCCGACGTGCGGAGAGAGGGACGGCGCGGGCTCCAACGCATGGAAGGAGGGGGCGGCAGCGCTGAGGGAGGGGATGGTGGCGCCGGCTTGGCTCCCTCTCCTCCGAGCTCACCGACTTGGCTCCGGGAGACGACGCTGCCGCCAGAGAGCGACGGCGGGCGGGCTGGCCTAGCACGACTCTAGGAAGAAGATGGAAAAGGAAGGAAGAAGACGGAAAGGAAGATGATGGATGGAAAAGGTGACAGCAACGACATGGTTCTAATTTCGTAAAATTGGAGTGGCACAGTTATGAATATACAAATTGTAATGACATTTTTTAATATCCACATTTGCAATGGCATGGATCAAATTAACCCTTGATCTATTGAAAATCTATTTTTTTAATTTTTACAATCCATTGTTTTACACCTTCATTATTATCATATTTATTTTTTGTTAATACATTTAGTCCTTAAGGCCTTGTTAACAGTGAAATTTGGTAATCGGCAAAGACGTCATCGGCTTAGAATCATTATCGGCTGTAGCATCTCGGAATCAGCCGATGGGAGTTATCAAGTCGCCAATAGTCGGATTCCTTCTATATTCGGTTAAGGAAATCAATATACTAAAGGAAGCTTATCCCTAAGTGACCGAGTTTAAAGAGGATGCGGCATGGCAGTTTATCTATTAATTAGGAATAGTTTGTTAGTTTCCTTTTATCTTTAGGAAAGTGTGTTTAGTGTCCGATAAGGACTTTATATTTTACTTTTATCTTTAGGTTAGTTTCTTTCTTGTCTGACAAGGACTTTTATCAACCCATGGGTATAAATATGTACACCCAGGGTCTATGTAATCTATCACTCTCGATCAATAATACTCTCGGCGCATCGCCACCCTCTTTCCCGAGGTTTTTACTTATCTTCCGGCGGGATTTGGGCACCTGACGCGGGGCTGCATCTGTTCAGTTCGATCTCCGGCGAAGGGGTAAGTCCTACGTTCTGTCGGGCCCTGGTGAATCTGTCGGCTACGTTGGTGTTGTTCAAGGCTGCATTGATTCGATCTCTTGGATCGCTCTGGTTTGGTTGATATATTTGCCTACCTGATATCTCAATTCTATCTCTAATTGCATTGTGTTTAGAGACGCATCGGTTTAGTTGGGACGGTCTCGGTTAGGTATGATCTCCTGTCTTAGCCGATATATCTCTACAATCATAATGCTGTTCTAAATAGATTTGTTATATCCATCACATTAGACAGATCTATCGGCTCATCGAGTATTAGATTATCATATACAATCTCGTGCTGCATCGGTTAGGTTCGATCTACTAGATTGTTGTTGATAATATAAGTCTTGTTAAGCCGATAGGTTCATGCTAATATTTTATCGGGGTGCTAGCCGATAAGTTATCTGGACGTTGCATCGGCTTGTAGGGATTGCATATACATATAAGTTGGATTTAGCCGATGGCAACAAAGGTTTCACTGTTTAATCTAATCTTGTGGATCTTATGACATCGGACCTCCAGCCGATGTGTGCTTTAACCTTCGGATCAATACTTGTTCTACTATATCATTGCTAGCCGATTGGTTTATACTGGATTATATTGTTATTTTGTTACATCATCATCAACCGATTACCTTTATATCATTATCTACATTGGACATATAGCCGATTGCTTAAACCCTATTGCTATCGGCTGGTATCGGCATCGGCTATTATTGGCTACCGGCCGGAACTACTCCATCAGGTTGTCAGCCGATCGGCTGTTTTGATCTACTATTTGCATATCTTGTCAATTGCAGGATCAAACTGACTGGCACACCCACATCTCATCATATTTGGACCTGCACTGGAGCTAAGCAGATCTCCCAGGCCGGTGTGTTCGATTTTTTCATCAACAGGCCTCCTTTGAAATAGAGAAATTTCATGAAATTTGTGAGAAAAATGATTGTTTCCCGTAAGAAAAATCCTATGAAATCTCCACGAGCTAAAATCTCTGACAGTGTGTTGCACAGCCGGGCCATCCCCCTCTACCCCATCCACTCCGAACTCCCACCACTAATCCGAAGCGGCTCCCACGCCCGCCGCCCCGCCGCCACGCCGCCATGCGGCTACTCCCCTACGCGCCGTCGCCGCGGCCGCCGCAGCGCTCGCTCGCCACCCGCAGGACCAAGCCAGGGCCGCCGTGCGCGCTCCCCTTCCCCGACGCCCTCCGCGCCGCTGCCGCGGCCACGGCGGCCGCCATGTCCATCTCCCTCTCCCTCCTCACCGGCGACGCCGTGGGGGCGGAGCGGCCGCGGGGCCCCGAGCTCTGCCGCGACGGGGCCGCCGCCGAGACCAAGGAGGAGGTGAGGAGGAGCGAAGTGGTGACGAACGAGCAGCTCGTGGAGGAGGCGTGGGAGGTGGTCAACGAGGGGTTCCTCCCGGACGCCGGAAGCCGTCCCTGGTCGCCGGAGATGTGGATGGTGAGCACTTAACAAATGATTGAATATGAACTATGAAGTGGTTCAATTGCCTATATGGAAGTCTCTTTGTACATTAATGGATTTCTAGTCGGAATGGCCAGTCTTCTGAACATATTTTATCCTCCATAGATTTATCTCAGGGAAACGTTATATCTTGAATATGCTAATTGGCTAATTGCTTCGCTTCAATGCAATGCAGAAAAAGAAGCAAGATATTGTCCAAACCTCAATCAGATCCCGTTCCAGAGCCCATGATATCATTCAGAAAATGCTGGCTAACCTGGGTGACCCATACACAAGGTTCCTGACTCCCTCCGAAGTAAGTACCTTACAAATGGCACTGTTCTTTTTTTGGAGAATGACAAATGGAAGCTCAGCATATTGGAGAAAACATCATCCTATTACACGAGTAGAACTGTACAACTTGTTTTTTTTAAAGAGAGAAAGAGAGGAGAGAGTATGAGCCTGAATAATTTACATTTCCCAACATGTTTAGCCTACTTATAGTCGGTGGGTCCACTAAATGCCATTCCTTGTTTCTCCTAGTGATCCATGGTTTTTGTAGCAATTAGCTATTCTGACATTGTTGTTTCTGAATTTAGTGCTAAAGTTGGCATGAACCTGTTTTTAGAATCTGGGTTGACCATGGGCCTCGGCCTCTCGGGCCAATGCTCATGACACCATTATTTTTTTAATTGGCAAGTCAGAATCGTGTGCAAATGACTATATATTGACCATCAAAAAGTTTTTGGGATCCCTGTGACTTGGACCTTTACTGCCAACTATTGTTTTGCGTGACTTTTACACTTAGGGAATAGCGAATTTGTGTCAAGAGTTTAGACACCAGAAAACTCAACGCTCCACAATGATGAAATGATGATATTACAAAACCATTTTTTGACGCATTTCCTTTGTTTCACTGATTTTACTTATTGCTGATTTTGCATGAAGATATGCTATATCTTCTAACTGTACTTCAGTTCTGATGATATTTTGCATGTGTTAAATCAATCTGGTGAAGTTCTCCAAGATGTCAAAATATGACATGACGGGAATAGGATTAAACTTGAGAGAAATTCCTGACGGCAATGGCTCTTCCAAGTTGATGGTATTAGGGCTCATATTAGATGGGCCTGCCCACTCTGCTGGTGTTAGACAGGTATCAACAACTCAACATATATACTTTTCAATTAGTAGGCATGCTTTTCAATCATAACATTGGTTTGATTGACTATTTAATTATTTTTATGTTTTATGTAATTCCTGTTGATAGTATTCTTATCACAGAGAACTGTTGTTTGTCATTTTTTTTGTATGAAATACTGTAGTCTTATTTAGCTGGTTTTTGGATAATATGCACATACTTATCTTTCCTGTCCTGTCTTTTTATCTCTTATTAGGGTGACGAACTTTTGTCAGTCAATGGCATTGATGTTATGGGTAAATCTGCATTTGATGTGTCATCCATGTTGCAAGGTCCAAAAGATACTTTTGTTACAATTAAGGTTATGAATAATCTTATAAACATCATACTTGTCTTTTGCCCAGAACTTCTTTGCGCTCCTTATTATAACTATCTCAATATTGCTTGTATATTGTATAGGTTAAGCATGGGAACTGTGGTCCTGTTGAGCCATTGAAGGTACAGAGACAACTGGTTGCTCGCACACCAGTTTTCTATCGATTGGAGAAAAGAGAAAATGAGGATTCAGCTATAGGATATATTCACATTAAAGAATTCAATGCAGTGGCCAAAAAAGATTTGGTTAGTGGTGTGTTGCTGGTTTGTTAACCTTATCAACTTTCATTTTTTAGCTGCACTTAGCTGCATTGCTTTCATAGCTGAACCGTTCTATGCATAGAACTTATTGCAAATGGCCATGTAGTATCTAATTCTTAAGCCAAAACTGCTATGCATGTACATATAACTATTTTCCTGGCTCAAACTGTGAGCATCAGGAGAACAACTTAAAATATTGTTTCCCCTTCTGCAAATTGGCCATCTAACGATGCTATTTCAGAACTTAAAATATCGTTTTCCCTTCTGCAAATTGGCCATCTAAGGATGTTATTTCTGCTGATTCTGTATGAAACTATTTTGATGTTACAAAATTTTCCGATATTATTTGTTGATATTCCATTAAAATTATTATCGGTAGATATAACTTAATATAATTACATTGGATGGTGGCATGTTATATCCACTAACATATGTTCTCTTGTGCAGCACTAAAGCGTCTACAGAACTCAGGTGCCTCCTATTTTGTTTTGGATTTGAGGGACAATCTTGGTGGACTAGTCCAAGTATGCTTTTTTCATTTCAATTATATAACCATGTCAGTCTTTGGTCTGCTAAACAAAATTGTGTTTGTGGGTGCCATTCTTTTCCTTTGAAGTTCTTGAGTTGTAAGCTTCTTGAAACAGTTGAGGCTTATGCATTTGGATAATGAAAGACACTGATATAATTTATTTGGATGGGGTTATTCTTACTCATGGTACTTTTGTTTACTTTAAAGGCTGGGATAGAGACTGCAAAGCTCTTCCTGAATAAAGGAGACACGGTAATTTTTTACTTGCTTCCATATTTTGTCAACTTCTAGCACAATATCTGTTACCTGAAAAATCTGTCCATAGAAGTTAACCCAACCTTTTTTTTCTACATAACTTCTTTTAAAATCCATCAACCTTTTTGTGCCCACCTCAGCTAAAAGTTACTGTTCATGGATACTACATCAAAATGAAGGTACTTCCTGGCTAAAATGGTTCTAGTTTAGGTTTGAACTTGGAAAAATCAAGCCATGCTAGTTTTTTTTATGTTTTCTCGAAAACAGTTATTTTTTATGTTAGACATGGGTTTGGAATTATAAATTAAGAGCTTGTAGTTACAATTCTTGATATGCATTTGGATAGAATCTTCGTTGAAATTCATATACTTGTCCTGTGCATATTAAAAAGTTTGAGGGCTTTCAGCCAGGCATATGATTGACTAAACTGTTGTTAATTATCCTTTATATCGTGAACTGAACTTTGGAGGTGTACTTTTCTTAAAGAAGAACTGAGATGTAGTATTTATGCCCCTATGGAACTTCTTCAGGTGATTTATACTGCTGGTCGTGATCGTCAAGTACAAAATACAATTGTTGCTGAAAGGGAACCTTTGGTTACTACTCCTCTTATGGTATGTATGCTATTGTGATGTACATGAACCTATCTAGCCAATTCAACTAATTTTACACTGTTACATGCAACAGAAAGCGAAGACCGACAAATTACACATATACAGACACCTATTAAGTTGCACATACAGAATTCTGGCTTTCCTATTCTAACTTTGACAGTGAGAATCATCAAGCTGTAGGGTGTTTTATGATTTATTCATGCCCATAGTTTTTTATTTGCACTTTTTTGATCGGCTGATTTAGAAGTGGAATGATACAGATCCAGTTAATCATATACGTACCCTTTACTGAAATTTTAGCTGAATCATGCTTCTCTCTTTTGTCTGCTATAATAAGATCTCCACATGCTCATTGTATCTCACATATCCATTCACAACTTCTTCATAGGTACTTGTGAATAACAGGACAGCAAGTGCCAGTGAAATAGTAAGTACCAATTTAACTTTACTGGTAGTATTAGAATAGTATCAGCATGAGCTCACCAATGCACTAACGCTTTTCTAGGTTGCTTCAGCACTTCATGACAACTGCAAAGCTGTTCTGGTCGGTGAAAAAACTTTTGGAAAGGTTTGTTAAAAAAAAACACAGCATATCCAAGGAAAAGCACTCTCTGTGACCAACTGGCTTATACTATGCCTTGGATGCGGCAGGGCTTAATCCAGTCCGTATTTGAACTTCATGACGGTTCTGGCATTGTCGTCACAGTGGGCAAGTATGTGACACCAAATCACAAAGACATAAATGGAAATGGCATAGAACCAGACTACCGCCGCATTCCTGGTGCAACTCACATTCACCCATTTTCTTTTGTTCCACTCATGTATATAATGCAGTTAACACTGAATTTCCTGTTGTGACAGATTTCAATGAAGCCACCGAGTACCTTTCACGTTGCCGAAGCAAAGAATTAAGCTGAATGATGTGGTTTATTCTGAAGCTCCTCAGTCAGCTGTAAGAAATTTTTACACTTGCATGTTCTGTTCTTACTGTTGAAAATTCTTGATCTGCAATGAGTCATTTTCCTTGTGATAATAAATAGAAAAGACGGATGGAAAACTAATAATGCTTGGGTACTTGTTGCAACGATGAACAAATCTTGGTTGGCTGACTGTACTTAGCTTCTTGGTGCTTGCAGCAATAGATAAGAATCTAGCTGCTTGACTTACTGATGGATTGATGAACATGGTCCAAAGAGAAATACCTTCCTTTGCCACTTTGATTGGTTAATACCAGTTATTAGTTTCACAAAATTGACAATGTTAATCAATAAATCATAGAGGTCTTCTCTAGTGGGAGTAAGACATGGGCATTGGGCACGCACACTTTAACTTCACAATACTGGGGGCTACTGTCTACACAACTGAGTAGGCCCTCCACTTACGATGAAATGGTGGCCCCGGTATATGATTCTCCACCAGGTGTAGATTCTAGATTGTATGTCCCCATCCCATAAGGCGCCTCTTTTTGCCTGCTTGTTGATGGGTTTGGACCTACTGATGAGCATTACTGTCCGCGTTAACTTTTCCAGCTCTTATCTTTGCAGTGTGAGATGAACAGATGAACAACTAGTTACAGACTTGGACCATAATGGATGCTTGGGGTTTTGTACAATGATCTCTCGGTTGAGCTGAGAGCTGAGTGCTGAAATGATAAGCTCTACCTCGAGCGTCGGTACAAGTTTGAACCACTCTGGAGAGCAGCCGTAAGCATGTAGAATGGCTTCTGCTGCAGTGCTGCCTTCAGTGGAGGATTTATCGAAGTCGCCCCCCTATATTCGCTGATTTAGGCGTCTCTAATCATGATTTGCCTTGACAATGCTCTGAATACATCAACACCAATATGTAAATAGCTTTTGTTCTGTAGTAGTATGCAGCAAGGTCATACTGCAACTTTACTTAAAGGAGGTGTATATCTGCCTCCGCACAGAATTGCAAGAGGGGCATACGACGCGAGAAAAATGTGATTTTTCTATCGCAAACGGATGGTTTCGCTGGAATGCTATCCCTTCAAAGTGATTCATTAAAATGCTATCCTAAACTGAGGGGTGTTCACCAAAATACTATTTTTGGTCTTTTTGTTAATAGAAATGATTTTGCTCTATTTTAGTTTTCTTGTGACCAAAATACCCTTCCCTCACCTGCTCCTCCCCTTCCCTCTCCCTTTTCTGTTTGCGTCGCCGCATTAGTCTGCTCGTGCCGCTGCCCTCCGCATCGTCTCTGGCTCCGGCGCCGGCCCCCGACGCTCCCCCACGTGCTCCTCCCCCTTTCTGCTCGTGCCGCTGCCGCCCCAGTCATCTGCAACAGCTGCCGGCGCGGCCCTCTCCTCCTCCTTGCTCGCCGCCCTCCACCCGCTCCACCGCGGCGCGCCGCCGCCACCGTAGCCATGCGCACGGTTGTGGGGTCCAAATCCCTACCTTTTCGCGCCGCATCGCCGCCACCGAGGAGCAATCGACGGTGCATTCGTCGTCGCCGATGACGAGGTTAGTCCCGCCCCACCCTCGCTGGCCCCGCGCCGCCACGCCTGCCCCACCCTCGCCGCCCTCTTCTTCGGGGACGCGGCCGCCGGGGAGTTGGACGTCGCGGCCGCACGCACGGCTATGGTGGCGGCGGCGCGCCGCGGCGGAGCGAAGGAGGCGGCTGGGCGGGGCGGGCGGAGGGCGGCGAGCGGGAAGGGGGAGAGCAACGGCCGGTGGCCGATGGCAGTGGAAGCGGAGCGCCGGTGGCCGGAGGAGAGCAGTGGCCGGCGCTCCCTCGAGAGAGAGGAAGAGGAGGAGAGAGTGGAGAGAGTATGATAGGTGGGCCCGTATCAGGGGTATTTTGGTCCGGAAAAAAGTTAAACTTGGAGTAAAAGCATTTCTATTTACCCAAAAGAGCGAAAATAGAATTTTGGTGAACACCTCTAGTTTAGAATAGCATTTTAATGAATCAAGAGGGATAGTATTCCAGCGAAACCACTCTTTTGCGATAGTATAATCCCAATTTTCTCAAAAATAGTATTTTCTCCATAGACGCAGAGCTACTGTTTATTCATCCAAACTTGTTTTCTTCATTAGACATGAAATACACGTATACGCATGCCATTATCCCACCGGAAAATGGTACACGTAGCAAAAATAAAATACAGCAGTGCTATGCATGCTTAAATTTTCTTTTCTTACAAACTTCTTGTTGTAAAATGTTTGTAACAACAAAAAAACCTTGCAGGTGCATTTTTCCCCATTCAAAGTATAAACTCAATTCGGTTTTGTTTGATTCTCGTCTTGCTAACTCTGTTTGGCACAACTTTATATCAGTAGATTTGAAGTTTGTATGTTAAAGTTATAGTAATTTAATATTTAATATTTTTTTTCTAAAATAGAAACAAAATAATTTATTAAAATATTATTAAAGCAATCGTATATCTAGATTCATAAATTTATGAAGCTAAAAATATTATCCAGCTTTAAAACTTTTTGGGGAAATTGTTGCAGTGTTTAGTTCCTTTCAAACTTCTAAAAATCCCGTCACATCAAATGTTTGGACATATGCATGGAGTATTAAATGTGGACGGAAAAAAAATCAAATGCACAGTTTGCATGTAAATTGCGAGACGAATCTTTTGAGCCTAATTACGCTATGATTTAATAATGTGATGCTACAGTAAACATTTGTTAACGACGGATTAATTATATTTAATAAATTCGTCTCGCAGTTTACAGGCGGAATCTGTAATTTATTTTGTTATTAGTTTACGTTTAATACTTTAAATGTGTGTCTGTATACTCCCCCCGTACTCGTAAAGGAAGTCGTTTAGGGTAATGTTTAAGTCAAACCTTGGGAATATAAATCATGAATAACTCTAAAGTTGTTGAGTTTGAAAATGTAAAAATTATATGAATAGATTTGTCTTGAAAAATACTTTCATAAAAATATACATATATCACTTTTCAATAAATATTTTTATAGAAACAAGAAGTCAAATTATGTTTTGGAGACCGTGTCGCTGTTCTAAACGACTTCTTTTATGAGTATGGAGGGAGTACTTTAAAAAGAATAAAAATTTGGTACACGAATTAAATACGGCCTGTGTGAAAAAGGGCTAATTCAAAAATGGAAAAAAAAACACATATCCCTATGTCAAACTCCTGGCGGTTTACGAGGACGTGGTACACGTTTCATGTACACCGCACAGCGTATCTACTGGAGTACTAGTATCCAAAGCTCAGCGAGGAGTACGTGTGCCGGCGCATGGGGTAGAGAGGCTGAGACATTTGCAAAGCGAGGTGACCGACCGCGAGAAGCAAAGCGAGCATTTGCCTTTGCATCCCCTTCCCTTCCCGTCTTGAAGCGCCCGCTCCGCTCCCCCACGATTCCTCCTTCCTCCACACTTCCACAGTCTCCGGCGCGCTCCCCTCGCCCACTCTTCTTCTCTTTCTCCCTCTCTTCCTCCTCCACCTCCAGGGCTCCAGGCTAAAACGTCTTCCCCGCGGGAGTGCTAGGTTGGCTCTGCGCGTGGGGCCCGCGGGGAAAGCTCAGTGGCGCGCGGCGGGTTTTTGGCGGGAGCGGGACTTGGTGGCCGGTGGCGGCGCTGCCTGCGGGTGTCGTGCCGCGATCTGGGCTCCGGACACGGTGTGGCTTTTGCCCTACCTTTTCCAATTCCCAAATGCTTGTGTTGTAGTACTTGTATACTTGCATCCGGACTTGTAGCAGTAGTAGTTTCTAGTTTGTACTTGTATACTGGGAAAGTGATTTCATCCCCTCGTTTCATACATGTCATGTCACCTAAATAGTCATCACAAATTTGAAAAGATTTGGCAACATAGATTAATATGAAATATATCACTCCACAAACATGCAAGTTTAAATTCAAATTCTACAAGTTGTAACAAAAATAACAAATATAGCTGCGAATGTACAATAACTATTTTCAGTTTAATTTGTTCTTTTGTTGCAACTTGTAGAAGTTGAATTTGGTCTTGCATGTTTGTGGAGTGATACATTTTATATTAATCTATGTTGTCATTTTTTTTCAATTTTTTTGATAACTATCTAGATGACATGCAAACAACGAGGGGATGTCCCCTTGAGGGATGAAAATCCACATCCTCCGCCTCGTCGCTATGATTCTCGTGTTCCCCTATGGTACAACTGTGGTGTAATGCTCCAGTAATTAGTAATCCCTCCGTCCCAAAATATAGGAGCCTAGTATACTGAATTACACACATCCGCGGTTCGCCTGTTCATATTTGTAGTACTGGGTGTGTCTAATTCAGTATTGGGTTGCTATATTTTGGGATGGGGAAGTAGTGTTATTATACTGCATCATTTTCTCATGCAGCAAGTATATTTGTTAAACCATCCCAATGGGAGTTGTTTGATCTTTTGGCCCAATTTCTCAACTGATTGCTCTATACACTTTAATTGTACTAGAAATCAGTATTTACATGACATAATTTCCTGATGAATGTGCATCTCTCTCCAACATACAGAATTGGAGCGGACATGGCTGATGTGGAGGGCCAACAGCCTCATCAGGTCAGTGGTGTGTCCAGGGCACAAGACGGGGTTGCCAAGGTGAGTTTGGGGAAAGAGCATGTGCCAGGAAGCGAGCTCTGGACCGACGGGCTCATCTGTGCTTTTGAGCTCATAAAGGGTCACAAGAAGCTGGTTCAGCACAAATCATGGCCGACGATTGATAGCATGCAGGAGAAAGAGGTCCCTATGCATATGAAGCGGCACATAAGTAGGAACGGGCATCATGTCGCAACCATGAAACCAGAAGAGTGCGATGTGGTGGAGAATCCCCGCCAGACAGAGTTTGCTAATGATCCTTCTCTGTTCAAAGATAGGCCGGTGCATGTCAGGGCAATCCTGGATCACAAATGGGTGCCTATCGGATGGTCTAGGATTGCTGAACTGGTCCAGAGGGTTCAGTCAGATGCCAGCTGGGATAGTGAGCCGGCGGAGATGACCGACAGTGAGGATGATTACACTGTAGCTGATGTTGCAGCTCCATACTGGCAGCGTCCGGTAGGACCTACATGGTGGTGCCATGTCACTGCAGGCCATCCCTCAGTTGACGCATGGCTGAATAGTGCTCACTGGATGCATCCGGCTATAAGAACTGCATTGAGAGATGAAAGCCGGCTGATAAGTGATCGGATGAAGTACCTTCTCTATGAGGTTGTCTTTCTTATTCTCATTTTTCCGAGACATTTCATAATTTTATATACTTATTTTTCTTCCTTCAATCTGTCCGTTATTCAAGACCTTTTTTAATCATTCTACAATTGAATGCTCTGCAATCTGCGCGGTGTACACATTATCTGCCTGAACTTCTAAACTTGCTGTAGCCTGTACTGTTTTTTCTATTCTATACCTTTTCATGTTTCGTGAAAAAAAAGGACCAACTCCTGAGCTGTTGTAGGTTTTTTTTTCTATGATCATGGTTAACTGTGAAGACCTTTAGTTTTAGAATGAATATTTGTGATTTTGTTCAAGAGCACACACCGACCTTTCCACAATATTCTGAAGACCTCTTTCTATGTGGAATCATTTCATTGCTTCAGGCTATTGTATGAAATACTACTATCAATTTATCATCATTCCCTCTAACCCACCCTCTTTTCCTTGAAAGCATTAACATAACAATAACATTATGGCCTAACTGGGTGGGTCAAGTATTATGGGTCTGGACCAGGCTCATGCGTTAGTTTAGGCATGATAAATTAGGAATAAGTCAAATAAAGATAGGAGGATATCTAATTAGGAAAGAGATGAGATTTGTTAGTAAAATAGAGATAGAGATTGGATTGGTTCCTATAATGTTGGCCCATGTCCATAACATCGAGACTGGCTTGACCCATTGATTTGTCATAAAACTTTTGGACTTATCTTAGATCTGTCAAAGTCACCTGCATTATGTACAGGTATTTTCATGGATTTTCTTTACTTAATGGGTTCTATACTTCTATTGAACTGTTTTTTTTCTATATTCATATAATATTGCCAAAGTAGTCTATCATGGAGTCGATGCATATATGGTTATGATAACTGTGCCCTGTCAACCTGAATAGTAGGCAGCAATATTTACTGTTTGGTCAAATCATTCAGCACTGTTTTTCTCTCTAAGAGTTCTATGGTCTTATTATGTGCAAATCAGTAATTTCTCAAACTATGCTGATTTGGTCTGCTTCCAGAACAGCTAAACAGCCTGACTACTTCATAGAACTACTCATGTGCATTTTAGATGCATAAAATAGTTTAATGTCTATTAGAAAGTGTGATGATGCTCTATCAGATGTGCACATCAGATTTATTCTATAAACTTCTGTTAGCTATTCAGGTCCCAGTTAGAGTTGCTGGGGGACTGCTATTTGAACTTCTTGGTCAATCAGTCGGAGATCCAAACCGTGAAGAGGAAGACATACCCATTGTGCTTCGGTCTTGGCAAGCACAGAACTTTCTTGTGACCGCAATGCATGTCAAAGGCCCTTCATCCAATATAAATGTTTTAGGAGTGACTGAAGTGCAGGTACTCCTTTTGAAACAAAGGCTTATTTGCTGGTATGAACTGAATAGTATTTAGCTTGTGAATTTTTCATCTTAAATGCTTGTGGAACTCTGTGCAGGAGTTGCTTAGTGCTGGTGGAAGTCAAACACCTAGATCAGCTCATGAAGTAATTGCACATTTGATCGGCCGTCTTTCCCGATGGGATGACAGGTTCATTCTATGTTCCAACTTCTACCACTACCATCATTTTCGGTTTATTTTCTTAGGATGTTTGGTCATAGAGATAAAATATCCATCAATAAGAAAAAAAAATCTTCGTTTGTTCTGTGTAATCATGACACTTCTTTTTTTTACCTCACTCAAACTTATCATAAAAAAAGTTTCTATATACATCAATAGATTGCACTTATACAGGTTTGACCCATCATACTGCTATTTACTTTCTTGGATTTAACTTTGAAAATGAAACCAAACACAATGAAATTCAACCCCCAAAATAAGAACACCATTGGCCTATATTTTAATACTATGTTGGCTATAAGCTTATACCTTATATTGCCAAAAGAACCACGACAAAATTCAACACCCCCAAATAAGAATCTCATTGGATTTTATCTTAATACTATATTATACTGTTGATTAACTTATGCTCAGGCATGCCAAAAGGACCCTTGGTGTTCTGTTTATCTGCATAATAAAAAAAATGATTTGATATGAGGACTTTCAACTTTCAAGAGCAATTTGTTCTAACTATGCATTCTCTATATTCCATTACCTCCTCAACATTACTGAACGTCTACTGTCTAGTTTGTAAAAGAAGATGCATATTATTTGCTTTAGGAAGACAATTTTTGTTCTTGATAATGATAAGATTGAGCATAACTAGTGGAAACTAGTATCCTTTTTCCAACAAATAATAACAAAGGTACCAAAATTCAAGTTGAAGAGGACTTGAACTACGATGGGGGCACAATTTATACTCAATTTTTTTTCTTGATTAAGATGTTATTATAGATTTTTATCTAGCCATATTAACTTGCCCACAGCATTTCTTTTATCAGGAAACCTAACATTTTAATCCATTTTAGTCATTCTTTCTTTTATGCCTGCAACTGTACTTGCTGTAGCAAACAATGGTGTCTACTCATGGCTAATAGTTGTGTTATTTTATTTCAGGTTATTCCGGAAATATGTCTTTGGTGAAGCAGATGAAATTGAACTGAAGTTTGTGAATAGGTGAGGAAACTGAACAGGCATATCTCAACTAGCAGAGCATATTATTTGAATTGATGGGCCTGTGCCCTAAAATGAGGTGATTTCATAACATTTTAAATTACCTTACATATTCAAAGTTCCAAACAACCATTTCGCAGGAGAAATCATGAAGATCTAAATCTAGTCAGCATCATATTGAATCAAGAAATCAGAAGGTTAGCAACACAGGTAAGTATGCCACCCTAATTTGCCTTCTATATATAATTACCTCATTGAAAAATAAAACACCAATTTATTAGATTGGCCAATGTGTCGTTTCTACTTGTTGAAGTATAATGCACAAAAATTTAGATAGGGTAGATCCAAAATAGGAATTGAATTACATGTAGGAACTTCTATTCAGATAAGTGTGCAATTGTGAACAGAATAGTGTTAGCACATTCAAGTTCCACGTGGCAATTGTGCATGCCATTCTCTTTTTTTGATACATAATGATCATGAGCCCGTGCTACAGGTAATCAGAGTTAAATGGTCTCTGCATGCAAGGGAAGAGATCATAATTGAGCTCCTTAGACATTTGAGGGGAAATACCACAAGAGTTATCTTAGATAGCATTAGAAAGGACACAAGAGAAATGTTGGAGGAGCAGGAAGCTGTCCGTGGCCGCTTGTTCACTATTCAGGATGTTATGCAAAGCACTGTTCGAGCATGGTTACAAGTATGCACCGAGCTATTTTTCATTCTTACTGTTGACTTGACTTGTAATTGATAGCCAGGTTTTGCTCTTCTCCAGGATAGAAGCCTTCGTATCACCCACAATTTGGCTATTTTTGGGGGTGGCGGCATGGTTTTATCCATAATCACTGGCCTTTTTGGAATCAATGTTGATGGCATACCGGGAGCGCAGAATACTCCATACGCTTTTGGCTTGTTTGCAGGACTTCTCTTCTTTGTAGGCTTCGTCCTTATTGGGGTAGGAATACTCTATCTTGGGTTACAAAATCCAGTGACCAATGAGAAGGTCAAGGTGAGGAAGCTCGAGCTCCAGGATCTTGTTTCAGCGTTCCAGCATGAAGCAGAACAGCACGGCAAGGTGAGGGAAGGTCTCAGCCGGCACAGCTCGTCTCCTAAGTCATCATCGGCCTCTAATGTAGACTACGTTCTAATTTCTTAAGGCTGTGAAATTAATCCCCTTGTGGGAGGGATTCACTGAACAAGGCCTAAAAGGGATTGGAAAAAGAATAAAGTACAAAGAGATTTGACAGAAAAAAAAAAGGATTTCCGGATAGAAGAGTTCTTGGTAAGGACTAAAGTATAAGCCATATAAGTATATAACTATGTTTGGTGATCTGTATAGAGGTTTAGATTAGAGTATAATGGTTAACTTGATATGCTACGGATATACTTGTGACTGGGAAGGATTATCACTGAGGAAAATGTGATCGAAATGCTAATAAATATGAGTAACGAGTTGGCCTCCTTTTCTGTATACCAACCTGAGGTGTTCTGCCATTGTACTCGGAAGTCCGAATTGAGAAAGGATGAGTCAAAATGTCTTGAAACTAGGGCTGCGTTCTTTGTGATGAGTTCTGGGGGATTGGGGGAGAAAAGGACATCGTATTCCATGCGCACGCTTCTTAAACTACTAAACGGTGTATTTTTTGTAAAAATTTTCTATAGGAAAGTTGCTTTAAAAATCATATTAATCCATTTTTAAAATTTAAAATAGTTAATACTCAATTAATCATGCGCTAATGACTTATCTCGTTTTGCGTATCTTCTCAATCCCCCTGTGCTCAAACTCACCCTAGATGAACCACGGGGCACATGGCAGAAGTAGATTTGGCGTTTAACTATTTTTCACTCATATGTTAATGACATGTAGATTCCTTATGTGTCAATGACAATGTGAGTCTTATAAATAGTTAATTGCTACATTTAAAAGAAGTAAATGGTTAAATATATCATGCTCGTGCCACTGGTTTAAATGATTTGCGTTGACGCAATCTTGACATCGTTAGGTTGACGCAATCTTGTCATTGCATGATCTGCATCGGCACTACCAGTAGCCCTGCACTCACTGCATGTCTGCATGTACACGAACCGTGGATAAAAAATCGATTGCTACGACTACCCGGTAAAATTAAAATTGCCGCTAATTAAGTAGGTTACCAAACTCTTTCCAGAGCCATGAGTACACTTTTCTAGCCTAAAGCAAACCATTAGCCATTGCACTTTCAGAGTCGAATCCTCATCGAATGGTGTGTCTGGAAAGCTATGAAATGGAAGGAGTGCAAGTAGGTGAGGGACAAAAGGCGCCAATGATTAACACACACACTCAACTCAGTCCTTCAAAAGAAAAAGGAGGAAGGTGGCAACACTTGCAAAACAAGCAGGCACTAATCATTGGTACCCTGTAATCATGTGCATGCATGAAAAAACAAATCACCAAGGTGCAAGGACGAAACAACTGCCTCTGAATTTTAGCTATGGGGAGGAAACATGGAACTATCTTCCCAGAAAAAGTTCTCTGCTCATCTGTCAGAAATGATAAGTGTGAGAAGATCACCATGCATTTGCAACTGTGCACTGCTTTGATCCAAACTAGTAATGGAGAAGAAAATTTGCGCACATGGTACACCAACAAAACTTTGTACTTCATGGTAAAACTGAGGATCGACAAGGGTTCTTTACAAGGGTAACAAAATCTGGTTACTAGTCATTCATGCCTTCGAGGTCAGCTCCTCCTGATAACTTAAACGGTATAGATGAAGAAGGTGCTTCTGTGCTCCCCTAAAACAAAACTACACATATCGTAGAGTAAACGAGTTGGAGGACTCATCTACAGAAAACATAGTACGGCGGATATTTTAGGGGAGCATAGAAGCACTTCTCGAAAAGAAGAAGAAGAAGAAAAGAAAGGGAAACGAACGATTCCTATGCCTTTATGTCTTCCAGTCTTTGCTAAATGTAAACCTGTTGCAATCACGGTATTGAACTATATTGAATATTTGACCAAACCAGACAGGATAATGAAATGTTTTCATGTCCTATTTTCTGTATCTGTTCAGCATTGGAGCCTCAGGAATCGGCACTGTTTGAGATCTCCTCCGCAGATTGCTGTGACTCGACATCGACGCTTCCCATCTGGCTGCTGGGCCTTTTCTGATCCTGCCAATAGTAAAAGAGAGAAAGCATTTACTTGTTAGAAACAAAATCTCCAAGAAAGATGCTCAGTTGTGTAAAACAAAAGTTTGAAAAACGGTGACAAAAAATGTACTAAACGTACTTGTCGATATGCATTCTGAACTGCTTCAAGCATTTGGACAACATGACTCATTTTTGGCCTTTTGTCAGCATCTGGATCAACACACTTCAGGCCAACCAAGATTGCCCGCTTAAGGGCACGTTTTGGGGGCTTAATCTCAAGGTTTGGATCCACTACTTCCTCCGCCCTCTTGCTGCTGATCATCATTTTAAGCCATTCTACCAGATTTGTCTGAAATGACATAAAAAAATGACTTGAGTACTAGATGATAGACTGGTCATTCAAATTGTCGAAAAATAGGAAAAGCTTCTACCTCATCTGCAGGTTTACTGTAATCAACTGGGTCTCTAGCAGTCACAGATTCCAAGAGCACAACGCCAAAACTGTAAATATCACTCTTTTCATTTAGCATCCCGCTATTCGCATATTCAGGTGCAACGTACCTAACAACAGATTAAGAAGAAAATTAAGATGTGCTTTTTTCCAAATTTACAGAAGACAAATAAAATAGAACAAACATGGTGCAAAAAAAAGCTATACCCATATGTTCCCATCACTCTTGTATTGATGTAGCTACTATCAGAATTCAGTAGTTTGGCCAACCCAAAATCAGAAACCTTGCTGTTAAATTCATCATCAATTAGTATATTACTTGACTTAATATCTCGGTGTACAACTTTGGGGTCTATAGCTTCATGAAGATATGCAAGCCTGAAAATCATGAAACTCATCTACATTAGCATGTAGTAGTATTGATCTTTAAAACCTGTATTTATGTGAGAAGGGTAAATTTCATGGGAAATAACTGCAAGTAAGGTCCAGACTGTGATCTTACGCTTTTGCAGTGCCAAGGAGAATCTTCATACGGTTTTCCCAAGTAAGGATGCCCCCACTCATGGCCCCATGAAGCCATTGTTCTAGGTTTCCATTGTTGACATATTCATAGACAAGCATCCTGCAGGTGAATATTCAGAAAAGGTCAATGTACAGTGAGAAACAAGGGAACAAGGAAAACACATATTGATTATGCACAAGGGAAGGAACAGAATTTCCATCTTATGAAATGGATAATTCATTTTCCCTTTTGAACCTTAAGAACATAATGCTTAGTATCACAATGAACTTGCACATGGTGGATTCGTATAAACTGGGCTGAGCAGCAAAGTTAATTATGCAGAACAAAGGGAACAGAGAGGAAGAAATGATCACCTGTGTATCCCTTCCACACAGTACCCCAGAAGTCGCACCAGATTCTTATGCCGAACGTGACCGATGGCTTCAACTTCGACTCTAAATTCCTTCTCTGCTTGCCCCCTGCAAACCCAGCAAAGAAATCTTAGCTCCAAGTTAACATACAGTAAACTCACTAAGGCAATATAAACTTACACATTGTTAAGGATCTTCTTCACGGCAACTTCAGTCCCATTCATCAGTCGACCCTTGTAGACAATTCCATAGCCACCCTCTCCAAGGACATTACTCTTTGCAAACCGGTTCGTTGCGTACTCGAGGTCCCTCAAGGTAAACCAGTGACCCCATCCCAAATGTGATAGCTCAGGCAACCCAACCAGCGGTGAAGCGGACGCATACCCATACGATGAACTGCCTTTCCTACCAGGCCCAGAGCTGCTGTAATCTTCAGAATATGAGCTCCCAGCCTTCTCTATGTTGTACACTGAGCTGCATTGGCTGAACGCGTCGACATCGACAGATCTACTCTCTGCCAAGTGCGAAACACCCTTCATCTGTTCATATTTATCCTGCACTGGCATGATAGGTGTTCCACTGTCATGCAGGCTCTGTGCATCAACTCTGTCAACATTGATATCTTTCGACACAATAGGGATCTCCATATGTGATCTCCCGTCGAATCCAACCGCCGTCTTCTTTTTCCTCCGCATAGAGAGCCACAATGCTATGATGAACAAAATTGCCATCAGTATCCCAATGCCGATGGCAATCAGGACCCAAACTCTCAAGCGAAGCACGGGTGTTGTCTGTGACAGTGCTGAACTGATGGAGTTGCTGTCGGACGACATATCTATCCTTCAGTCTATCTAAGATCAAGAATTGTATCAGAGATGCTCTCACAAATTCAGAATCTTGCACGGATTTGCCAGCTGAATTTACAAACTTATCCTGGTTTGCTTTTATCTGTTAAAAAACAAAAGGTACTCTATTACTTAACTCTGAAACCTGAACCAGCACATGAACAGAACTATAAAAGTAATAAAGCTGCGCGCATATGATGGCCCAATTCTTCCATGTTCAGGGGGAAAAAATATTATCTTTCATATCACTGTACAGACAATTCGCACAAGCAAACTAATCAAACAGGAAAAAAAATGTCCATTTCTGGGTCAAACCACCAGCGAGGCATGGACTCCTGATGGGACTCAAAACTCTGAACTGTTTATTCAACAACCACGCCTATATAAAATTATTCAAATGCAAGATACAGGGTGTCCAAGAAAGAAAAAAATCCGCACAATGCAAATTGCAAAAACAAACCAGAATTCTACCGACACCACCCCCAACCCACACCGGAAATCCCAAAGCCCATCACAATTCCAAGAGGCACAGAGTCAAACACCTCCCAAGATCACAGATGCCGACGTTCCCCCAACAAAACACGAAGAGGAAAGAGACCGGGAGATTACCTCTGCAGCGCCTTCAGCTCATCCCCATTGGCCAAGAATCCCATCAAGAACCACCCCCAAACCCGTCGTCAGAGCTGCAAAAGAAAGGGCAGTTCTTGCCCGTGTGTGTGTGTGTGTGTGTGTGTGGAGTGGAGTGGCGTGCACCGGAATGCGCAAGAAGGGCGAGCTGCCTTTGCTTCTTTGCAAGAGAGAGAGAGAGAGAGAGAGAGAGAGAGAGAGAGATGGAGGAGACGGAAAGACGAGCACTACAGCACACATGCACACATGAAGAGAGACAAGATGAAGCTAGAGAGAGAGAGAGAGAGAGAGAGAGAGAGAGAGAGTAAAGGAGAAGCAAAGGGGAGAGGGGAGAGGACTATAGGAGAAGAAGAGGTTGCAGCATTTGGAATTAAAGGGGGAGGTGGGGGTGTGGAAAAGGAGAGAGAGAGGAGCCATTAATCAAAAAGAAAATTGCAAGGAGGTTGTTATTTGGAAATACTCTAATAAAGAAATTAGGAGGGAGGAGGAGATTTAATTAATTAATTAATCAGTCAATTAATCAATTAATTAATGCTTGGGGAGAATGGCCTGATGGTTGAGACCAGCATGTGGAGGGTGAGGGGAGGGAAGTCAAACGTGCTGAGGAATTATCTTTTGCTTAGTTGGAAATGCAAATGCTTTAATCTATTGGCATTATGACAATATCTTGCTTTTTTTTTCTTAGCAGAGCATCGGGGTGCGCCTTCGTCGGTTTGTTGCTAGCGTGTTATTACGTCTGTAATGGACATTAGTATTGACGTGGAGTAGCCGCTATAATTACTATGACGTGTGGTCAATGCAGCCTGCGCCTCGTACATCGGGCGGGTAGATTTGGTCGTATGCATGTTATGTGTGTAGTTGTGAAGATGGTTTACGTATGTTGCTCTTATGATAATCACATAACAACTTGACATAGCTTGTCGCTATGTGTTGACATGAGTAGGTGATGAAGTAAGGGGTTGTAACGCATGTATTTATTTTTTTTATAAAAGCATTGACGTGATTTTTTTATTAACCTGGCAATACGACGATATCTCGCCCTTTTAGCGAAGCATTGGGACGTCTTCTCTAATTTGTTGCTAGTACGTTATTTCATATGTAATGGACGTTAGCGCGGATGTGGAATAGCAGCTATGAATTACCAAAATGTGTGAAAAATACAATCAATTTAGTGTGCAATACAATACAGGTAGATTATGACCACATGAATACTATGTGACATTATAGGGGCGATTTACGGTCATACATGATGTATAACGTGAGTACATAATGAAATAAGAATGGTAACACGCTTTTTTATCAGTTTTTATTTTAGCAAAACATTGACTTGCCTCTTTGGTTAGCAGGTGCCAATCATACTATCGTGACGCACGGGTTCCATGCAGCTCTTCTCGTTGATAAAACCCCTGAATTTGACCAGATGCTTATGTAATGCGTCATGCTCATGACGGTGAAGCTTCATGTTATGCATGGAACCAATCTTCCCCATTGCAAAACCAGATAGCCAGCAGAAGAAACGCTTGGAAAGCTATAATTACATTGTAATTTGTAAACACCTTCGGAGTGTTGAATCATCTAAATTTTCTTTAGAGACACATTACATGATTTGACGGTTGACGCCATACTATTTCGGCTAGATGAGTCTTCTCTAACGTACTATTCTCTAACGTGAGTTACTCACATGTGAACCTGTTAGTTGTGGAACCCATATATCATCAACTTAAAGTGAGAGGGTAGTATGGCGGCGGATCTGTTATCGTTCCTATTTCGATTGTATGCAAATTCATCTTCTAAAACTCTTCATGTTATAATGGCAGCGTACAGTGCAATCTCAAATATATATGATCATTGGGGAAAAAGGGATTCATAAATCATAATAATTAAAGTCTATTCACTGCTTAGCATCATTGGTACCATGGCTGATAGCTGACTACTTTGAATGTCTGTTTTCCTGTTTGATCCGACGGATGAGATTGAGCTGGTGGCACTGTGTTGTCACTGTAGCTATCCGATGTGCTTGAGAGTCCATCAAAAATCAATTTGCTGTCTTTCCCTGGATCCTATTAATTGCCAAAAGGACGCCATTTTCCCATATAGAAAAAAAAGACACCATTTTCTTGGGTGTACTTGTCGTTGGAGAGAACAATTTGATTGTCTCGCCGCTTTAGCAACATCTTAAAATACAACAAAAAAACAATTCTTTGCTGGTCAACTTCCTGAGTCCTGACAGAGACGCGCTTGAGATATAAAAAAATGAAATCCTATACTATTTTGATCAGTCTGCAGAAAACGAAAATGTTTTTTTTTCAGTCCGGTATTGAACATGTTTAGCACGACAAACATTGAGACAGAAAAGCAAATTATAAAAGCTGATGCTTTAGCCTAATTCATGTGACGCGTACTCGTACCGATATACATAGGTAAGCTTTACATCAATAACAATCGAGTTGTTGAGTAGGGCATGCATATATGCAAAAATGCACTTTATTTCCTAGCTAGCTAGCTTAGCTAGTATGCTCTCATGACAGTGCATGGTTAAGGAATAAGGAGGACATAAGTTCTTTCGGTGCAGTTAAATACTCTTTTCATCACCAAGAGGCGATATCGATCAAGCCCCCATCTAATCCGGCTACGCTAACCTTAATTAATCTCGTCTGTTGCCTGCAACTACGGGTAATTAGGCCATTCGATCTCAGTCAGTCACAGTCAAGTCTTTGGAGAGGATTGAACGCCTATGAAAATATATAAAAACGACAATTTTATGTACTACTTCGATCTGTGAATGACCTGATAAGTTAGTATCACTATTTTATTTGCACTCAACAAATGTTAGGTGTTGGCAACATAGCATTGCATAATTGCGCTAACTTTATTCCAGGCTAGCTACATGCGCACGCCTAGAGTTGGTTACTTGGTTAGTTGCTGGCTTGCTGCTCCCATCATGATCGTCTTTAATCATACGAAGCAGGGGACACACTTCATTAGGCGCCCCTAAATGCCATTATGGCCAAGGGATAATCACAGTTCAGGCAGAGGCCCCAGAATGCAATGGCCATATCTGATTATCTGTCGCCTTGTTAGCTACCACTAGATATATGTGATAATACTAACTTCTTTGAAACAAAATATCAGAATAAATATCAGTTTAAGTTTGATCGGATTTATAAAAAAAAATCATAGTAACATTTCTAACACGAAACAGACATTTTATTATAAATTATTCAATGTTAGGTTTGATAAAAATTAATTTGATATTGTAAATGTTTTTAAATATGTCTATAAAGTCTATCAATCATAAAAAAAATGTGACTAGAAAAAAATATTTATTAAAACGACTTATAATATGAAATGATGAGAGTACTATTTAAAAAAGTTAATTGTATACATGCTATTACAAATATGCCATTTTAGAAAAAAAATACCACTACCACTCATTTATTCATATTCATGCCATCCAAATACGCACAAAATTAGAACCATACCATCACCTGATCGCCATCACATTTTTTTATTATATAGACCAAAATATCTCTAGACATGAGACCCACATGTTAGTTCCATGCATCTTCTAACTCCATCCTTCACTCTTCTTTTTCCTTATCTCTCTCCACCTCGTTGAGCCAAAAGCATAGGTCGACGAGAGAGGCGAATGGAAAGGCAACAACCAGCGCAATGATGAAGCGCTGGTTCCCATTTACCCACTGGCCTGAGAAGGAAGGAGGGAAGCCAAGGCCACCCCCGCTCGAGCTCATTGCTATGCCGCCACCCGCACCAAGCTCCTCCCTATGGCCCCACCTACTCCTGACATTATGGTTCTTGCCAAATCTAGGTTGATGCCCTCCCTGTCGCCACAAGCTCCGCCCGTCCTCGTCACATCATCGTCTTTGTGGCTGCCAGCGGGAGGATGAGGAGCCCCAAGCCCGATGTTGGAGATTTGGCATTGCAAGACACGTGACCCGCCGCCACCGTCGTTGTCGGGCACTGTTGTCATTTGCTCCACAGGGGAGAGGGGGGCTAGAGATGTGGGGCGACAATGACATCAACGTTGTTGTTGTGGCTGGCCAGCAGGAAGGGAAGGGAGAGAGAGTATAAAAAGAAATTGGGGAAGAAAATGAAAAGTGTGATGGTGTTCAATTTTGTACGCATTTGGATGACATGGATACGAATAGTAGTTGTATTTTTCTGAAATGGTACATTTGTAATGGCATGGATCTAATTAATAGCCCTTGAAAAACTATCTATGCCGACCTATACTTATTAGGCACTTTGTATAATCTCACACGTTAATTAGAAAGAAAAATCTGACCATTGATTACAAAGAACATACCTTTTTAGATAATAGAAATGTGTTATGTCTCCAGCCTCTGTCATATGACATAACATAGATAATAAGTTATTTAGCTGAAAAAATAGTAGGTGAATGGACAAACCCAAACTACCCTAACAAAGAAAATCAACTGATAAATTTAAAGAACCACATAATGTGATTATAATAAGTAAGCTTATAAAAATTGCGCCTCCCATAGACAGAACATATTATCATGATAATAAATTCTAATTTAACATTGTGGACCACGTTAAGAACCCATCTATTAAGATTTATAGTGAGTTATGTTGACTCACTGTTCATGATCCGACAAAATCCCCAGGTGAACTTGGAGAAAGGAAAATATGTGGTGAGAGCTGATTTCCCGAAATCTACAGCAATCCAACGTGCTCCTGGAGCGGAAAACCTTCGTTGGGAGAGGCCGAGGAATGGGTGGATGAAACTAAATGTTGATGGCTCCTTTGACATCAACTCTGAGAAGGGAGGTATCGGAATGATTCTCAGAAATTGCCTGGGTAGTGTGATCTTCAGTTCCTGCAGATCTCTTGACAGTTGCAGTGGCCCCTTGGAAGCCGAACTGCGCGCGTGTGTGGAAGGTCTTCACCTAGCGCTCCACTGGTCTCTTCTTCCAATCCAAGTGGAAACTGATTGCAGCTTTGTGATCCAGCTCTTACATCACTCAGACAAAGATCGCTCAGTTCTCGCTAATATAGTTTAGGAGGCTAAACTACTAACGGCTGGGGATCAGCAAATCGCCATAAGCAAAGTTCAGCGTAGTCAGAATGTTATTAGTCACTTTTTAGCAAACAAAGCTAGAGCTGAGTCCCTATCTAGTCTTTGGCTTGGAGAAAATTGTACCTTTATCTTGCATTTTGTCTGCGAGGACTGTGATTAATATATTCTCCTTTCCCCGAAAAAAAAAAGAACCCATCTATTCTACACGTTGTGAAAAATTGAGACTTCAAACTGAATACTCCAATTTATTTATTATTATTATTTTATATATAATATCA